TGGAGGTCTAGTTTTGTCAGGCAGAAACCCAAATGATTGCAGCTTGGCCCTTGGCATTGCCACAGGAGGTGGCGGAGGCAGATAGCAGAGCCAGGTTCAAAAAGGAACTGGATGAATTTCATAGATTCATTGATTCACAGATGTTAGGGTCGGAAGGGACCTCAATAGATCATTTATGGATGATAGATCTACTAATGGCTATTGAACAGAATAATCGGAGATGTTTCCTGTGGCATCTCTAAGCCTATTATCATTAATGCCAGGGAGGGTACTGAATAGGGGATATCTGATTCAATGCTCTCCCTCTGTTGGAAGCTGCAGACTCGGCTAGATGGACCATTGGTCCGACCCAGCATGGCACTTCTTATGTTCATATACTCTTTTCCTAGAGTGCTGATTTGACGAAGTCTCAGGGGGACGCATGGGACCTTATTGAAAGGGGTGCTTTCATTCTGAGCTAAAGTTCACAGAGCTGTGTTGCTCTTCAGGCACTAACCACTCTTTGCCCCCACCCCAGGAGCATTCAGAAAATGGGCGTAAAATGCCCAAACCTAAACCTAACTGCTGTTTTATGAGCTTTTCCCCACAAAATCCAGCCCCGGTCCCACTTGGGTTTTTGCTCTCTGCCTGTAACTGAGTTGAGAACAGACTGTGATAAGGAACTGAAGCGTCCTGAGGAAATGGGAATTATATCAGATAGCACTGAGGATAAGAAAATAGCCTCTTAGTAGCACGGAAATGATCCATTGCACGTAGAAATTTCCCTAAAGCAGGCAGGCATCTCTCTAGTCTTCTCCCATAGTCTGTTAAGAACCAGTTACGGCCAAGTGCACATGCATTCTGATGATGGATTTTGACATGAGAAAAATTCCAATAAAACATTCTAGACATAATATTTGGACATCTTTGGAGCTCGATGGTCATTTTCCAGTGAGCCTTCACACCTCCGTTAACAACAGCAAGTCAGGGGAGAAACTAACATTGCTCATGAAAAGGAGAAAAATACCACCACCACCCCGGCCTCCTCCCTTCGCAAAAATAGCACTTTGAGTTCAGCCAAATGCTTTCAAGTCCTCACCTCTGGGTGTGCATGTGATAGGTGAACAAAGCCAGGTGGTTGGAGGCGTGCCATGTGGGCTATCTCAAGGCAGTAACGAGCCCCAGTGGAAGCGCAGAGATGTGCATCTAAGAGTAACACTTAGAGATGCTTGAGGCTGGCTGCATATTTGCCCTATTAGCATCTTATTTATGCGATGCCTTCGGTGGGAAATAGTGAGGGCTCAGCACTTTGGAAAATCAGGTTATATATTGAGAAATCTAATTTTAAACTTCTTTTTTTTCAACATTGGCTTTCGTGATTAGACGGAGGGATGGAGGGAGGGGAATGCCTGAGTCTAGTCTCTGCTACTGGTTCTGTATCTAAGATCAGGCAAGTCACTTCACCTCTCTTGTGTCTCAACCATAGAAGTTGCCTGTTTCACAGATAAGCGTTGTTTAATGAACTAGTGCTTATAGCAGGGGCGGGCAATTATTTTTGGCGGAGGGCCACTTACTGAGTTTTGGCAAGCCATTGAGGGCCGCATGACAGGCAGCCAGGTGCAGATAAATATTAATTTTCTAAAATTTAGGAGCCCCTCGGGCCAGATAGAATGGCCTGGCAGGCCGCATCTCGCCCCCAGGCCGCATTTTGCCCGCCCCTGGCTTACAGGCCCCTTTTATCTCTAACAGTGCAAAACAGTATTATGGCCTCCCTTATTACAGGGCAGAAGACAAGACACAGAGATCATGACCTTTCTGAACTGACAGCATCACCGTGCGTCAGGACTATAATGCGGTATCAAAGTGCATGCCGAGCCCGGCAGTCCTTTATTCAGGGCAGCACATGTGTGAGCCATGAGATCCTCTAGCCTTCCAGGACATCCAGTTGTGCATTTCCCAATATGGCCAGCTCCCTCATTCGAAGGTCCGTTGTAACATTAATGACAACAGTGGGGCTGTATTGTTAACATCCAAATGATGGAAGGGGATATGGAAAAAAACCGTGGCATCTATAGCATTTTAAAAGCATCAGCTCACACCATTCCAGAGGCAAAGAATAGCATTTCTGAGACAAAGGGAGATCTATCAACATCTCTGACTGACACTGTGCACTGAAATGTGGCTGCCTGTTCCAAGTGAATGATTTACGTTTGTGATTCCAGGCAGGTGAGAGAGAAGCTTCCTTTGGAAGAAGATACTTGGAAACGCACTGGCCCTTTCCCATGCTGAAAGTCAAATGAACGCATTTGGCTCGGCGAGGGTTGTAAAAGCCTTCATTAAATCCTGCTGTTGACATGAGCGTTCATGCGATAAGTGACAAGAGGCTTGATTAAGGGCCAAATCTTGAGTTTCTTGTTTCAGAGTTTGATTTGAGTGAGGACTGGGGGGGTCGGCCTATGACGGTTATTAACCCTGACGCCCCTTTCTCTTGACACAAGGTCTTTTTCCAAGGACCCCACGTGAGAATGTTTAGAGACCTCAAGTGTGAAGTTCCCCAGGACACAAACGTCAGAGTGCCGCATTCAGCCAATCAAATGAGAGTGTTTCAGTCCACCCCGCTGCTCCGATTGGCTCTTGTTGACAACCCGGAGAAGGTCAGCCTCACAGGTAGAGTTTCTTCCACCCCTTCTGCTTAGCAATGTGAAAAACAAAGACCTGTTAGAATAGGCTTGGTGAGGACCCAGCACTTGTCTGAAGTGCACCACAGTGGGGCAGATGAAGCTCCTACCAGGGGTAGGACTTCTGGCCCCAACAGGCAGAGGCCTCCAAGATGCTGCTGTAAGCTTGCCAGCTCTCCACCGAGAGCCTCTGAGTGTCTCTTCAGACTTGAAGGAGCAGCTGATCCCCCCAGACAGCAAGAGACATAAACCAGCAGCAGATACAGAGGGATGAAAAGATGGCTTTGCTCCTTGATGCACAGGTCAGAGCTTCGGGAAGCCTTAGGTTCACCTTTTACTTGGTTAGGGCATGCCTAATTTTATTGCTTGACCTCTAGTAGAAGGAACCTGTGCTGGAAAGATCCTTTTCCCAGATATGACCAGATGCTGTACTGAATGGGTGTGTCTACACATGCATTTACACCAGCTTAAATTTACTGTGCAGTAACTTACTGCGCAGTAAGTGGGAATAGGCCACAGTCTATACCTGCAGGTGTTAAAGCTCATAATGCTGTGTGTGGACTGACCTGGGACAAAAGTTAGTTCCAGGTCAGTCCACGCACACAGTGTTACTCTGCAGTAAGGCATCTACATGTGCCTTACTGTGCATTAACTAATCAGGCGTAAATTTGATACGTGCATGATGCAGGTATCAAATTTATTCTCAAGTCAGCATATTTACTGTGCAGTATGGGTGTGCACATGTAGATGTGTGCCCATACTGTGCAGTAATTTTGGTTACGGAGCAGTAAATGTGCACGTGTAGACTCACCCACTGAATATCAAAGCTCAACATCTCAGCTCACCTGGGTTCAAGCTGAGCTCCCACCAGCTCCTTTCTCTTCTTTTTCTGTCCTCCAGTGTTGACAGCACCCCCAGAGTCCATGCTTCTTAGCCTCACCTTAGAGATTGTACATAAATTGACCCCTGCACACATACACACACACACACTTACACTTACATGCACATCCATGCACATATGTGTGTGTGTGTGTATACACACACACACATATATAGGTGTGTATGTGTGTGTGCACGCACATGTACAATCTCTTTTCCACCCATCCCCTTTGCTCTGCCTATATCTTTGCCTCACTCCTTTTCATTTGTGTATCCACACCATTTTCAGTGCTTTCTCCTACACCCAAAACACTCGCACCTTCAGTACAAAAGTCTACACAGCTTCTGAACACTATTTTTTGTGTGTGTCTAGGAATCAACTGATGGGAAAAAATGATGGTACCCACAAATTAAAAAATAAAGTCCCCCCTCCATTTTGTCAAACAGGGCTGGTTAGAAATGTTTGAACCTTATTCTTTTTTATTATTATTATTGGAAAATGCCAGTGATTCAAGACTAAAAATATTTGAGGGAAATACTAGTTTGGACCAATTTTAAAAAATGCTGAAAAAGTTCAAGTTGTCAGTTCAAAATTACTTTTCGCTCAATACATAATAATCAGAACAAAGCATTTCAATATTGCAGAAAGGACATTTTGAAATGAACACGATCTGAAACCTTTTTTATTTCACATTGATGTGTTCACAGAGATTTTGTGGATTTGGGCTTCATTTGGAACAGGAAAAAAATTGAATTCCTCATGAGATGAGACAGGGGTGTAGGTTGTAGCCGTGTTGGTCTAAGGACATAGGCAGACAAGGTTCCTTGGGTGAATTTGATATCTTTTATTAGACCAACATGAGATGAGAAGCTTTCCTGGCCAGTTTCACTCTAAGACAGAAACCCCTTTTGGTCACCCGGCCGATCAGGTGTCTGCACTGGATTGACTTCCTATTTGGAAGTACCTTGGGGCAGAGACCATGAATTTTGTGCCAGTGCTAACCTCCATATTCGCTGATAGCATGACACTTCCATCACTGCCCTTCTCTACTGGTTTCAGAGTGCAACATTTATATCCACTAAAGCAAAACACTGGCATGAAAGCATCCTCCGGGTACCTAATGCTATTCACACTGTTCCTATGAATTGATTTACACTGCAACATTAAATGAACCCCCGTTCTTTTCTTACACAACACTGCTGTGAACAGGGGTTTAAGGAAAGCGGTTTGTCTAGCTAGCTCTCTAATCACAGCAGTGTCTGAACTGTACATGTTAGAGTAGAAGCTCATTCCAAATGTTTTAAGATCCTGAAGTTCGTTTTGTCATGGAAAAACCACCTTGCTGTTCATCTGGGAAAGCAATAGGACCCATGTCGAAGGCAAGGGATGACATCTACCTCATCTGATTGCCTGGGAGGAATTGGGGCATAGTGACTTGTACATGCAGGATTTCTAAATGGCTTCAAGCAAGCTGGAAACAACTGGGTTGGGGGAGGAAAGGCTTAGCAACAGCCTAACCGGTTCACATTTTCATGATGGGCCCCATCCCATCGCCCTGCCATGAGCCTTCAGCTGGAAACACAATCCCATTCCTTCCTATTGTCCAGGCTTTTCCTTCCTGCCACATGCCTGGAATTGCGCCAGCGATCGTTTCACACCTGCTGTTTGTGACTATCCCGGGGTGACCTTTCCAACGATGGCTACCGCAGGGGCTTTCTCGGCGGATCGACACGAGTATGTACATGCCGGAGCAGATGGAAAGGGAACAGGAAGGGGCCTTGTGATGAATGATGAAGGATTAAAATAGCTCTCGCCAGGGCCGTTGGGGAATATTAGGAGGCAGGAATGAGGGAGCGGATGTTTAAAAGAGATTGAAATGTCACTGTGAGTGTGCAAGGCGGAACACAGTGTGATCAGATCCCTTCCTCCTTCTGAATCAGTCTGTTCCTCTTGCCCAGGTTGCTGAATGATGCCACCATGCAAGGCTCAGCGGCTGAAGAGACGGGGCCGGAGAAGGAGGCCTCGTTCTGGAAGGAGACCATCCAGTGAGAAACTGTCTGTTTGGGATAAGAAACAGAAAAAGCAGGAGAGGTAAAGTGGAGGGCTTGGGGTCAAGTCTAGCTCCCGGCCTGAATATTCATGTCCTGATGTGACTCCCCTTTATTGCTCCTCCGAAAGGTGCTTGGAAACCAGAGTGAGGGATACAGCAGAAGACCTTGAGCAGCGTAGGACCCACTGACTAGCCTGTGGTTCCTCCTCGTGCGTAACTGAGATCACACAAAAAGCTGGTGCTCCACTACCAAAGTGATGAGACTGGCATTAATGAGAGGATTAGATTTGCTTAGCCCACATCAGAACTGCAGCAGGGTTTCCAGGGCCAGAGTCTTAACTGGCTTAACAACACCGAAGTGATGCCAGCCGCGACTCCGGCTACAGGCTTTAGTCACACAGCCGTGGACAACAGGCAGGCAGATTTCCTAAAATAAACAGCTGGGATTTGGATGGGGAAACCCGATTGCTGAAGGACATGATGCTGGTCATTCAATGGGTGGGACCCTTCTCTCTGGGCTCTAATAATCACGTCAGCACGGTGCTGTTCCTCTCCCGCGTGGCAGCACATGACCAACAACTCAGCTCAGCTTCCAAGTGGAGGAGAAATCAAATTAACAGCGTGGAGCTGGGCTGCCCAACGGGGCGCCCATGAGGGGTCAACATGTTGCCTGCAGGTTTCCGGGCTCCCCCTACTTCCTACAGCGTCCACTTCCTGACCTTGTTCCTGGGGGCAGGGCAGCCCATGCTGCATGTGGGGCAGGGGCACCAGGATACCCACGCTGAGCACGTGGCAAAAGTAGAAGCCCATGTGTGTGGTGGCAAAGCGGGGCTGCTTGCATGGCAGACCTGGATAGGAGGGGGTGAGCTGTGTGCATGGCATGGGGAGGAGCTGCCCCTACGGGTGGGTGGCATCGGAGAGTTTGTGGCATGGGGGCCCGGTAGCTGGACAGCCCTGGCATGGAGGATGAGTGTGTTTTCTTACACCTGAATGTGAGTCCTGGAACAGCAGTGGTTAAATAGCACGTAGGGAAACCCTTCTTCTAGAGATCCCAGCCCAGCTCCCAGACCCTCAGGAACTGGCTCCCATCTGAGGCCACAGCAGAGCACACTCCTGCCTCTCCCCCTGCCCCCCCCGCGCATAATAAAATTGACAACAAGGGATGGCGTCTTTCCAAGGATGAGCATTTGCTTGCAAAATGAGCACATGAACTTGCAGGACTATACATAGCAGTGCTGATGGGTGACACCTGCCATCACAACAGCATTAATCAGCTCTGCATTCTCTTTGGGACCTGCTCACTTTGCATCCACATGGCCAGGTTTCAAGTCAAATCCTGTCCTGGCTCCTGTCTTACACAGCTCCGCTCAGTGGCTTCAAGAGGTTTGCACCACTTGTAAGTCAGGACAGAATTTGGCCCCGAATAAGGAAGCTGAGGGAGGAATGAGGAGGGCAGAGAGATGTTGTCAAAGTAGACTGAAGCCCTGCAGAACAAACTCCATGCTTGAGAAGAAAAGTCCTGCAATATACAGAGGTCCACAGCGAATTCCCCAAATAGCCCTTCACTGCCTATGCATGCCCACTCCAAGTGAGCCTTGCTGGCAGCCATTAGGCTGCACTGTGTGCCAGTATTTCAGATATCTCTGTCTACCAGCCCCATCATGCACCTTCACAATGGGTTGCCCTTTTCCTCCCACCCGGTTATGTTGGATTGCAACTGGGGAGCTCAGTAGGGTACAATGCAGTGAGAGAGGCTTAGAAAGAGGATACTGCATTGAGTTTAGCATAATCTACTAGGCAAGTGGAGGGGGGAATATCAAATACAGACAACTCAGCTCAACTTGGCTATGGGACTTAAGGTGATTTTTGAAGACCAAACCCCTTGAGAGCAGGTGTGTTTCCCTGAGCAAATGCCTGGATTCAGCTCTGCCGTCGGCCAACTCCACTTAGACTACTAGGTCCTGTTTTTCTTGCACTGTTTTGGTTTATAATGGCTTGACCAAGCCAGCGTTCACTGGCAGCCAAGTGCAGCCCAGAGCTTTCCCAAGTGTAGCTCTCCAGTGAAACATCTGGCGATGAAAGGAGGTCAAACAAGCCTGGCATGGACGAGGGCTTCAGACTTGCTCTGCAGAGATGCAGCCTGATGGGAAAAGAACAGCCTTTTCTGGGTGTCCTTGAAACATGAGGCTGAGAAACCAAAGCAGGGAAGAGAGAAAGCAAGCACTGCAAAGAGCATGGGATCAGGAGGTTGAATTTGCAGCTGCTTTAAACCCAAGACCACCCTGGTTGCCACACAAACTTACTGCAGTCTATTCAGAGGAACTCTAGCTGTTCCCATGTAGACAGAGGGTCTGACAGGCTCCAACATTACACACCCTGACTACAGTGTAGGCAGAAATTTCTCTTCCCCACCGTCCTGATATCACCCCAAATATTTAATGTGAGCAAAGTGATCTCTTTTGCAGGCAGTCCCTTTCTGTTTTCTCCTTATGCCTGCTTGAGAGCTGAGTGAATCAGGCAAAATAAATGAGAACACTGTGTTCTTCTCTTTGCTAACCCTGAGCAAAAATGTACTTAATTTATAAGCTCTTTGGGGTGGGAACCATTTACTTGTTCCATTTTTACACAGTGCCTAATACTGCTGAGTCCTGGTCCTTGATTGAGACAACACATCATCATCATCTTCATTCAAACATACTTAGATGGCATCTGAGGATTCATGGAAATACAAGGGCCAAGAGTCTAATGCATTTTACTGGGAATGATTCTTTATCTCTGGGCTGAGAGGGCATTAAAAGCCAATTGATGTTGGTTACTTCTTTCTTTGAAAAGGTTTCATTCATCCAATTAAGAAGCAAAAACAACAGCATGTGACGGAGATGACCTATTACTTGCCCCACAATGGCAAGCAAAGAGAACAGTTCAGAGAACAGTGGAGTGACTGTTCATTGAAACAGTGGTGAATACGTCTACAAATTCAGGATGGAGTCATGGCAGAGGAAACTGAGATTGGAAATGAGGAAAAACTTTCTCACTAAGAGGGTGGTCAAGCTTTGGAACAAGCTACCGTGAAAGGTTGTAGAATCTCGATTCTTGGGAATTTTCAAGGGCGCATTGGACAAACACTAGTCTGGGATGGTTTAGGTGAGGATGATCCTGCCTTGAGCAGGGGGCTGAACTAGATGACTTTCTACGGACCCTGCCAGCTTGTCTTTCCTATTATGATTCTAACTATTCCTAAACAAAGGATAGGGCCAAATCCACATTGAACATGAAGAATGAATCATCTGACCCACTCTAATAATAATGATCCCTGATGTAGATCATGATTTTCAAGGAGGGAGGCAGATATAGGGGTGCTTGAGCATGAGACTGAACATCAGTCCTGTCCCCTGCCACCCTCAACTCACAGAGGTAATGAGCTGCACAGCTCTCCTCTACCTCTTCTATTTCTAGACTAACTCTTGGATATGTCACCTGGCAGCTGCCATGAGCCAAAAACCCCTTGTCTCGTAAGGGGACTGAATTGATAGAACAAGGAGCAATGGTCTCAAGTTGCAGCAAGGCAGCTTTAGGCTGGATATTAGGAAAAACTTTCTCATGAGGAGGGTAGTAAAGCAGCAGAACAGGTTACCCAGAGAGGTGGTGCAAGCTCCATCCTTGGAGGTTTTTAACACGCGGTTTGACAAAGTCTTGGCTGGAGTGATCTAGTTGGGGATGGTCCTGCTTTGAGCAGGGGGTTGGACTAGATGACCTCCTGAGGTCCCTTCCAGCCCTCATTTTCTATGAGTCTAGGAATTTAGGGGTGCAGCAAGGCAATGCCTGTGAAGAGTCTTCTCTTTCTGAGATTTACTCCCTCTAGCAACTCAATCAAAGCTGGAGTTCATTAATGGTAGCATGTGCTTATTTCCTGAGGTACGTAAGTGTGTGACGCAAATTGCTGTGTATTGCAATGGAGTCTAGATGCCATGGTGAGAGGCAGCCTCTGGACGCGTAATAGCAGCTGTTGTCTCCATGCAATAGATATAAAGGGCTGCAACTGCATGTGGAAGCCAACTCGAATCCAGAAAGGGTTGGGTATTTTTAATTTGCACAAATGAATTCATAATTTGCATACTGCTCCCCTATCTTCAGCCCCTTACTCCCAGCTTTCCAGGCAGGGTTGTCTGTATTCATCTTCATAGGCTTCACTGCTGCCTTACTGAAGCCCTATTGCACAGACCCAAGCAGATCCACAGAAAGTAACAGCGGATGTGATGCACCACAATGTGCTTCACATAACGCAGCAGGGGGAAAGCTTGAGCCATCTCCCTGGAAAGGCAACTTCACAGTGAGGCTCCATGGGCCACGTTCTTTCCCCAAAATCACATAGGGGCTCACACTTCAGAAGGGGACTTACCGTGGGCTCAGTATGAATTTCCCCATATTCAGAAGCCCATAGCATTAGGGATGGTATGTCTGTATATACCCACCGGCTTAGATCAGCTCCGGCAAGGTGGAAGGTTGGAGGATGCAAATTCACATTTATGATGCTGGCATGCAATTGTAGATACCGCTTATGAAAACTGGGCTTTAAATGTGTTAGAGACAAAATTATAAGGTTTCAGATCTCTGAATTTCTTTCTCCACTGCCTTCCAGTTTGGAAGCCTCAACTTCTCTCTAACCACTGGGATAAGATAACCTCCTGATTTCCAGACCAAAAACTACACTGGCTGCACCTGGCTGGAAATGGGAATTTAGTCATAACATAAAAAGTTGCACCGGACGCCACTGCCGAGTCACAGTCACTTCAGTTCCCCTCTTTATTCCTGACACCATGACATTCAGTCCGGCTCCCTAACTAGCAGCGTAGCCAGCTGGCCAGCAAGTATAACCAAAAGTATGTGCTCCCATCTTCTCTCCTGCCGGAAGGGTGTGTACTTCAGTGGTGTGGTTGAGAAACTGTTTGGGAACTGGGCACTTTTATTAGCACACATATCTGGCCTGTTCATAAGGTTCTTCATTTGCCAGCTCACTTCTTAGCTTTCTCTTTATTAATTTTGGGCCCACACAAAGCCTCCTTCCATCTGTAACATTTGCTGCACCGGTCTCCAAGGGTGCGTTATGCAGTCTGAAATCAAAACAGAAATGCAGTTGCCATCCAAAATTATGAGCCTGCAAGTTCTTCCGCTCTT